TTGACTTTACAGCCCATGCTCTTAGCAATTCCATTCTATTTATTTTCTATGTTCTGGACATTGTATAGATAATCTGGGAAGTTCAAATAAATGAAAATCCAGTCTCTGGCCTAAAGTTCTTATACAGTATATGGAATGGGAATACCTGTCATGAGATAAAGTTGGTCAAGGCATTTATGCCTCATGCCAAATGGATAAAACAGATAACAAAAGACTGCCACATCAGCCACTGAAGATTGGAGTGGGGAAAAGACTTCAGTGTAAGGAGGTCAGGTGGTATCTCAAAGTTGTTTATTTTATTTTTGTTTTTTTCATAAGTTATTGGGGTATTGAGGTATAGGTGGTATTTGGTTGCATGAGTAAACCAAATACCACCTCTACCTTAGTGGTAAGCCAAATACCACATTTAGTGGTGATTTGTGAGGTTTTGGTGCACCCATCACCTGAGCAGTATACACTGCACCATCTTTATAGTCTTTTATCCCTTTTCCCCCACCTGCTCTTCTCCCAAAGTCCCCAGAGTCCATTGTATCATTCTTACGCTTTGGCATCTTCACAGCTTAGCTCTCATGTATCAGTGAGAACATACGATGTTTGGTTTTCCATTCTGGAGTTACATCACTTAGAATAATGGTCTCTAATCCCCATTGTATCATTCCTATGCCTTTGCATCTTCATAGCTTCACTCCCATGTATCAGTGAGAACATATGATGTTTGATTTTCCATTCCTGAGTTATATCACTTAGAATAATAGTCTCTAGTCTCATCCAGGTCACTGCAAATTGCTGTTAATTCATTCCTTTGTATTGTTGTATGACTGTGTAGTATTCCATCTCATATACATATATATATATAATATATCACAGTTTCTTTATCCAACTCGTTGATTAATGGGCATTTGAGTTTGTTCCACAAGTTTGCAATTGCAAATTGTGCTGCTATAAACATGTGTGTGCAAGTATCTTTTTCGAATAATGACTTCTTTTCCTGTGGGTAGATATCCAGTAGTGGGACTGTTGGATCAAATGGTAGTTCTACTTTTAGCTCTTTAAGGAGTCTCTGCACCGTTTTTCACAGTGGTTGTACTAGTTTACATTCCCACCAGCAGTGTAGAAGTGTTCCCTGTTCACCACATCCACGCCAACATCTACTGTTTTTTGATTTTTTGACTATAGCATTCTTGCAGGAGTAAGGTGGTATTGCATTGTGGTTTTGATTTGCATTTCCCTGATCATTAATGATGTTAAAACAAATGGCCAACAAACATATGGAAGTCATTTTTAGCACAAAACTTGCCTCTCATGGCCATGATCAGCAAAGTGCTATGGAGACATAGCTAAAGAATCAGGAGCCCATCTGGTGGTAGCTTCAGCTGTGGATGATTTAAACTTGAGCCTTCCTGATTGAGGACTTCTCATTCCATGTCTCTAATGCTGATATTCTTAGTCATCTTTTCTGGCAAAATAAGTGGTTGTTTCTAAAATTAATTTCCCAAGTGTTAGCTTAACTAATGAAGGGAGCATTTCCCAGTTTCACTGCTCCCTAGCTGTAGATCCCTGTAGTATATTCCATGTGCCAGTGCTTTCACATGCAGAACTAGGGCGCTGTTTAATGTAGAGAGACTTTGGGAGCTACCCATGATACAGCCATGGCTGCAAGAAATAATGGGGAGGGGAGCAAGACGGTTAGAGACTGGGTCACAATTTAGACCTGTCCCCTTATCAAATGCAGCTATGATGAATGGAGTGGACACCATCCTGTGGCATCAAGGGCCAGATTGCCTCATCCCTTTATAGAAGATGCCTGAACTTCTCTCCAAGCCCATTTAGGGAATCTGGGGCACCCCTGCCATTTCTGACCATAATTTTCCCATATCAGGACCCCTAAGAAAGAAACAATGTTAATAAATTATGTTCATCTTTAGCATAACTTTACGCCAGGGAAATAGAGGAAACCAATTTTGTCATTGTTGTTGCCTTTTGCTTTAAAAAATGTGTGACTAGAAGAGTAGGGTAATAAAAAGAAGCATGAAGTTTTCTTGCCAAGAAAAGCACACTTTTTTGGGGAGTCATGCGTCGGGGAGAGCCAGGCCTTCAACGCAGAGATGTCTTTGGACACCCACCACAGTTTGTCAGTTGCAGATGCTAATGGAACCAGGCCTGGTGACTGAAGGGGAAAATGGAATATGAAAGCAAAGTGAAAGAAGCCTGTGAAGCAAGCATGTCATTTCTAAATGAAGGTTTCATGCAAAGGAATTGAGTCTTTTCACAGCTGAAAATGGAATCTTTAAATAAGATAAAATAAAAGGATGCTGTGGCTTGTTGCGGGTTCTGTAATGAAATACAGTTCTCCTAATACCGTGTGACCTGCATTTCTCCCTGCTTTATGGGTGCTATTCCTTGACGTACAAACCCGTATTTTCTCAAGTCAGCATTTGATGATGGATGTCAAAATACAGGCCATGTATTATGCATATAGCATTACCGATTTAAGGTGTTTACTTGTCAAGTTGAAGAAATTCAAAAACGTCATATCCACTGAATCTGCACAGCTGTCACTTGCAGTTTTTCAGGCTTTTGAATTGAAACTTCTGATGAAAACAGTTTAGTTTTCCCCTTCACCATCCTAGAGGAAGAAAACAGCTGGCATTGAAAAATGCATGTTTTTGGTTATGTGGTTGGCTGAAAAACACATATTCCAAAGTTTGAAAAGATGGACACCACAATGTCATTCAAAATGACTCCCCCTTTTCACAGTATATTAATAAAAAGAATCAAATTAAGCACCATCAGGGAATGGGTATTAAGTAAAACTTTGCTTTTCTTTCTGAAACTATGGCACTCAATGATAAGAAATGTATACGAAGGAGAGCAGAAAGTAAGAAAACCTTTTAAAATATTTCCCTGGCATTTTATGCATTATGCACCTCCAAAACAAGAGGCAATTATTGAGCTCCTGTATTTCATTCCTGACCTACCCGAAATGCCAGACTCAACACAATCTTGTCACATTGCTGGGGAGTGAGTGAGTCAGGAATCTGGTCACATAGTAATCTATTTGGAGTTTTGTCCTTGGAAATTTGGCAAGTGACTTTGTTCCTAAAAGTCCCTAATTCATTGATAAGTCCATGCAGCCTTCCACCAAGGGCAAAAATGAGAAACCAAAGTGAATGTGAATGCTTGCCTGTCATCTACGTGTAAGCACATTGGGTCTTGCCACTTGCGTGGACTTGCCATATGCTTCATTAGAAAATGTAATTGTCACCAGATGAATGTAGGAGGTAAGTAGGTTTCTAATATTGATATGTGTCCATGCAAAACCTAAAGAGGCAGTCATTATGCCTAGCCTGGATATTTCTCACTCTGAGTAAACTGAAAGTTACAGTTTGGTCCAAGCTCATCCTGCTATGCACTCTGGACTTGGACCTGAGACCCAAAAAAGCCCAAACTGCAAAATCAGAGACCAAGCAGGCTTCTTTCCAATTTTCCTGTGCCCACATATACCTTATGTGGTCTGTGCTGGGCACCCTGGGAAGTTCAAGGGATCAACCATAAGCAGGTGGCATATACATCAGTCAGGAGCGTTTAGATGCAAGTAAACTCCTTCTCCATTTAGCTTAAACCGAAAGAAAAAATATGTACATCTCATTATATTATGTGTATGTATATGTATAAATACATTTGTGTGTGTGTGTGTGTGTGTGTGTGTGTGTGTGTGTGTGAATAAAACTCACATAGGGAGAAGTCCTGCGATGAGATGGCTCCTGGCTGCTTTCCATAGGAACTCCAGGACAGTTCTTCCTGTCATTCAATTCAGCCAATATTACTGATAGTTCAGTTAGTTACGCCCTCAGCTGGTGCCTCAGTTCCTGGCACTACAGGCATATAAAACAGTGCTTAGTAAATTAAAAAAGAATCTCTTCCTATACGTTTCTTTTTAAGAGCAAGGAAACACTTCCTGGAAGCCCCAGGAAGATTTCTTCACACTTCTGATTGGCCAGAACTCTGTGAAAACTGAGGCCTAAGTCACTTACCAGCAAGACGATAAGCAATTGATTGGTTTATGGTGACAGTCAGGCCAGTTAGGTTATGTTGTGGTAACAACAAACAAACGAATTTCAGTGGCTTAAGGCAACTCAGCTTTAGTTTTCACTCACTCAGAATGCTATGTGGACAACTGTCCAGGGCTGCTGTCCAGCCTTCATTTCCATAGTAACTTGTGTCCTCACAGTTGCCATGCCTGGGAAGAGAGAGACGGCCGTCCAATCCCTGTACCAACAGTGATACGCATTGGTCTGCTCAACTTTTCATAGGACAGAGCATTTCTTTCTTTCTTTCTTTCTTTCTTTTTTTTTTTTTTTGAGACGGCGTTTCGCTCTTGTTACCCAGTGTGGAGTGCAATGGCACGATCTCGGCTCACCGCAACCTCCGCCTCCCAGGTTCAGGCAATTCTCCTGCCTCAGCCTCCTGAGTAGCTGGGATTACAGGCACGCACCACCATGCCCAACTAATTTTTTGTATTTTTAGTAGAGACGGGGTTTCACTATGTTGACCAAGATGGTCTCGATCTCTTGACCTCATCATCCACCCGCCTCGGCCTCCCAAACTGCTGGGATTACAGGCTTGAGCCACCACGCCCAGCCAGGACAGAGCATTTCATGTGTCACATAGCCATATTGAACGTCAAGGGGGCACAGGGGATAATTCTTCTGTGTCTCTGGAAAGAGAAGGGAGCCAAAATCTGAGCAGAATAAATAATTTGTGTGGAGTCTGGATTTTTTTAAGGGAACTATAAAGTGAGTTACGATTATTTATAATGGTATCCTACCTTGTCCTTCTAAAGAATAGCTCATTAGAGTTTATCCTGGGAGTACTAATTGCTGACCTGTGAATAATGCATAAGCTACATTTTTGGGGTTGTGTGTATATACTGTACTCTCATTATTTCCTAATGTTCTACTTCTTTGATTTTTCTTTTTCCTCTGCTTCCCTCCCACTAGGGTTCACACCTCCAGGAATGGATAGATCCTCTCCGGATAACAGCCCAGTGCACGGGATGTTACGTCAACCGTCCATCACAACTGGGGTCAACATCCCCATCATCACTGAACTAGGTAGGGGTCAATGTCAGCTTTGAAGGGAATTTTTGTTCTCTTTCAAACCATACAGGATATGAGGAGGTTGGTTTTATCTTAGCCCTTTCAACCTTGTAGGTGCTATGGGGTTTGTTTTGAGGGAGCTGGGAGAAAGGTATGAGTAGATATATGGCTGATTACTGGAAGGGAAAACTGCTCTATCTTTCTTCTGAGATGAATAGACAGTTTCCTTCATGCTGGTCACTGTTTTCAAAGGAGCATGAGATGATGGATTTGTGATTGGGGCATACAGTTGGGAATGGGGAGGGAAGGAGGATGGCTTAGTTCATGGATTCTTTCCGGTGATTTTTACTGGAAGAACCTCTTTCTAGCATTCTGTCTGGACAGCTCCTACAATCTGAGCCCTCCACTGATATACAAAGCCTTGGATCTAAGCCAAACCCATTTTGAGAATGAGGGAGACACCCTGGGCTAATGTGTAGTAACTCCACATTGAACCTATCATAGTTGAATATCTCAGCCAAAAGCCATTTTCAGCAAATGCCATTCCCCCCCCCACCCCACCCCGATGATGGGGTTTTGAGGGCCATGTTGGTTGGAAGATAAAATGTAACTTCTAACCTGGCCATGGCACTCCCTGTTACCATGAATGAGTTTGCAAAACTGTAGAGCGGCCTCTTCCCCACCCCCCCCAAGAAAAATACAAACTACCTGTGGTCCGGGGTCCCTTTACTTGAGAATGTTTCCTCTGTTATTCCCTCACTCTCTTCTTTTTCTGTACTTTCCTCCACTCCCTTTCCCCAACCCTTAAATGCTGTATCCAATTAGCTAAACCGGGCAAGTTGCCTTTGGTTTCAGTCAATCAGGAAAAAAACAGTGGGACGCACATTCTAATGATAACTGAACTGGGTAAGAAGCACTGTTTTCCTTCACATCAGTATCTCCTTTTGTTCTGCTGTTGGTGTTTCCAACTATCATCGGCTTGTTTTTATTTCACCGGCTGTAACAGAAAGGCTACCCCATGGCACTGCTTTGAATGTGTTTTATTTGTGGCTCTGGTTGGAATCGACTGTCTTGTTCTGGCCTTCCTTAATGATTTTTTCCCCACACAGCATCAGTAAACCTTTGATCACACCCATCTGACCTGGCAGTTGTTTCCAAAGCATCTTTGCTCTAATTCATTTTCTCTGGCCTGAGTCTTTTTTTCTCCACTTCTTTTTGTCACCCTGCTCTCCCGCCTTCTCCCTTCTACTCCTCTTCCAACACGCTGTCAGTTTGAATGACATGTCTTCACAGCTTTCAGAGAAAGTCAAAGGAGAATATCAAAATTTTAAGATAAGAAACCTGAGATGGCGCCTTCCCTCCAGCTGTTTATTTTCCTTTATTCTGACTTTATTTGCCTTTTTCTCCCTTACTGGGGCCTTTCTCAGAAGCTTTGGTTCTGAAGCCATAAAAACAACTGGTCCCTGGGGAAACTTTTTTTTTTTTTTACTAAAGGCAGATTTCAAGAAGGGTGCAGAGGATAAGGTTAGCAGCCACCCAAGTGCAGCCCTGCACTCTGGCTCCCACTCCCAGCTCAAAACCCTCTCTGGGAGATTCACAATGGACTCAGGTGGAAGATAAAGGCCTGTGGTCATGACTGTGTTTGTAAGGCTCCTCCCCACTTCCTCATGACTTGATTAATAACTCCATGAAGGGCACCCATCAGCAGCAGGTCTCAGAACTGGGGATTGATCTTCTAAATAGAGACAGCAAAAGTGCGACTCAGCAAAGGAGTAGATAGAGAGGTGGGAGCACCTGCCTTCACCTGACTCACAAATGAAATGAACACTCCATTTTCTTGGCCCAGAAATATATTTCAAAATAAGGAAGCAGGCTTTCAACACAGTAATCTTGCTTGTGAGGTGTCTAGAAACTAAGGAATAAATTGTCCACCACTCAATTATTGTAGATATAGCTATTTATCAGGACAAATTCACTCAGGTCAAGGAGTATCACATTATCTTCTGTTTCCAACCATTGGAGGGGTATCTTTTGCATGTTCAGTGTAGTTGTTTAAAAACCCTAGGTTTCTGGATTGCTCTCCTCATAACTGGAAGGCCATAAGAGACCCAGGGCTCATGTGGTCCACACCTCTGGTTGAAAAATTAATCTAAACATCTCCATCTCACAAACCTACAGCAGTATTTCAGAATCATCACTGCCGGGAATTTCGTTTTCTATTCGGAATTCATGTGCTGATAACCAGGTTATCTTAAGGAGAAACTTGGTGCCCCAAATCTAAGGCAAGAATTCTGGCATTTGATTGGTATCATTGACTCTCCCAGAGGCTTTGTCCCACACCAGATTTCTCTCTCAAGTTCAGAGAATGTTGCAGGTGCTCACACCACCCTATCTTCTGCCTTGAGCCCTGCTTCTTTACCTGCCAGACCACCCTTCTCTGACCACTTTACCTCCCACATCCCCCACAAATACTATTTACCTACATGTTCTGAGATGTGTTCTGCATTATACCAGACCAGTAAAATGAATTTTAAGAGACACAGAGGGCACCAAGGCCACACAAGCTTTTGAGGCTATGTAGTACGTTCCACTCTTCTCTACTTGGAGACTCTCAGTTGATGTTAGCAAAGGCTCCTCAGAGTCTCACAAGAAAGGACTCTGTTAAAGCTGTTTCACCTGACTATTTCAATTGTATTTGGCCACATATGCCTTGGGTGATTATGTGGGTACCTCTTAGCACCCACATAATTACTGTTCTGTGAAATAGACTTTGGGTAGCACTGCTTGCTCTCCTTCTGAGACTGGGTATTTCAGAACAGTATACAGGGTATTCACTGGACCCTGGCTAGTCTCTTGGAGTACTTTTCCCATGACCCCAAATGTCTAGCTCACTGGCAATCGGGAGTCTCCTCTCTCTACTTGGAGTCGCTTCACCTCCATGTCTGGTGCCAACCCTTCCCCATCTTCCTGATAAGAGGAAACAGACACTGTGCTTTTTGGAGCATTGCCCTACACACCATTGGTGGCTATTACAGGTAACTAAAACCACATTCCTCCATATGTGGTCTCCAGTTTACATATTCTGATTCACAAATCAGAAAGACTAAATAGTGGCCTACAAAATCCCTTTGGACAAGGGAAGGGAGGTGAGGAAAAGCCCTTGAAAATCCTCTTGTAAGACCCCTGAGCAAGACATTCAGTATTTCCAAGAGGGGCAGAGAGAAGCTGGGCATCTTCATGCTATAATGGGTGGAGAGATATTTAATGTCAGAAGGGAGGTCATGACAGCAGCTGGCATTTATCAGGTCATGGCATGATCCAGATGCTGGGCCAGGCTTACTGGGCACAGTCCTGTTCGTATGAGCCTTCTGACAGCTTCATGAGAGAGCTCCTATAACTCCCCCATTTTACAGAGAGAGAAATTAGGGTGTAGAATGATGAAATTGCTTTGCCCAAGGAAGTTGGCAGCAGTGGCTAGGCCGAAGCCCAGTTGTCAGAGCCTGGATTTTGGACTTTCACCATCAGACTGCAATTCAATTGCTGCTGAAACAAGAGGGACCCAAATATGACCAATTTTGGAAGAACAGAGCAAAGATTTTCCCCCATCACAATCTTTGTCTAGGAAAACAAAATGGTGTCATTTAAAAATAGTAATTCCATGCCTAGCCTTTCATGCTAGTATCATTTATTCTGCTTCATACAATAAACAAAAGTTTTTTTTTTTTTTAAAGAAGAGTTATCAAGAAAGTTGCTTAAAAAATTAAAACAATAACTCTAGAAAAGAGAATTAGCTGCTGATACATTTAGAAAGGAATCAGGGAAAGGAAACCTCATCAGTTCTCTTCCTAAAAGCACAATAATTATTCCAGAAACTGAGTCCCCTCTTCTTCCATCCCCCCACCGACTTTTCTCCTATCACTTGCTCTGCAAAACTGATAATTTCCGAAGCCACGTTGGGAATGGAAATTAATTTGTCATTTAATTTTTAATAAGTTAAAGACATCTGAGTGACACAACTAATCAGTCTGCATGTGCGTGCGGGAGGAGTCCTTGAGGAGTCCTCAGATGGAAATGAAATACAGCATCCAACGATGCATCTGCTTGAATGCAAGCACATAAAGATTGAGCTGTTTAGAAGGGGAAAGGGAGAATGTGGGCGTCCCCATGCAACTCAAAATTCAGAGCAAGTCCTTTGCAGCAAGCAGCAGGAGACAGCCAGGCATTCGTCCCACCTGGGGTTTCCTGTGTATTAAACAGGGCCTGTTGGGTGTGGACCTAGATTCAGGGCCTGGGACCCTGGGAACTACCCAGGGCAATCCCAGTGGGTAAGCTGTGGGTTATGCCTGTGGGTGAATTCCTTGCTCTCTGTCTTTGCTGTGCTCCCCTTCTGGCGCTCTTTAATCCCAATAAGCTGCTTTCTTTTCTTTGTGGCAAAAATGACTATCCCAGCATGGCTGCTCATCATTGAAATATGTCCATCTCTCAAAGGACTTGGTTACCAAAAAACACTGGAAAGTGTTTTTGGGTCATGGTCCTAAAACTATGCCAAAGGACTGGCCAGCACAGTCTACTGGTCCTCCAGTGGCCTGCCATGCAGCAAGCCTGCTCAAACTCATTGCTCTCCAGGTCTCAGAGGCTTAAACAGTGACACAGGAACATTGAGTCCCACTGCCCGCTCACCCAAAGATCCATCTACAGCTTCTTCCATGCTTTTGTTTCCTTCTCAGTGACTTCAGTGTTTCTAAACCAGTAGCCTGGTCTTTCTCTGGCTTTGCTGCCTGTGTGTGGTCTTCAGAGCTAATTCTTACTTTACGCTTTTTCTAGTGAATGATACTAATGTTCAGTTTTTGGACCAAGACGATGATGATGACCCTGACACAGAACTGTACCTCACGCAGCCCTTTGCCTGTGGGACAGCGTTTGCCGTCAGTGTCCTGGACTCCCTCATGAGCGCGGTGAGTTATCCCATTCCCTCCTCCTCACTCAAGGGTGGAGGATGTGCCAATGGAGCACCTTCAAACTTTGAGGCCCTGGGCTGCACCAGAGCCACAGTGGAGGCAAGAGTCCTGGAAGCTTACACTCTAGAAGGGGAGATCCACATTATAAAACCATCACACAAGTAAATGTTTGATTATAAATTCCTCAAGTGCAAGGAAGGCAAGGCAGGCTGGGAGGAAATGTAGGTGAGCACTTGGCCTGGTCTTGGGAATCCTAGAAAGATTCTCCAAGGAAGTAGTGCATTTTATGCTAAGATTTGAGTCATAAAGAGGGGAGATCTTGGGGGAAGAGCATTCTCTGAAGAGGAAGAGCAAATGCAAAACCTGGTGATGGCAGGGACCTGACGCTCTCAAAGAAGACAAAACAACCCTGTGAGGCTGGTCCATGGTGAGACAAGGGTGCAGGAGGATGGCCAAGGTTCAATCTGCAGGACCTTGAACCCCATTTACATGGTTTTGGTCTTTTTCTTAAGAGTAATGAGGAAGCACTGGAGGATTTTAGTTGGAGACTGGCATAATCAGGTTCATGTTTTAATTGCCTTGGCTATTGTGTGGAGGATGATTCAGAGGTACAAGATGGTGGCAGGAGGTCTGAGTAAGAGGCTGTCATGGCTTGAACTAGGATAGAGCTGGTAGGGATCAGGAGAGGTGGATGGATCTCAGTGGTATTGGGCAGTAAAATTAATAGGACTTGGGAAAAGATTGACATGAACAGAAGGTGGAGAGGACAGTGGGTCAAAGGTGACTTCCAGGCCTGTCAATGAGACTGAAGTCCTTGGGAGAGAACCAGGCATGGGGGCAAGGCCTGGCTAGGTATCTGCTGCAGGGAGGAACAGAGTTAGTGGCAGAGAGAGGAGGGTGGGTTGGCCAAGGGATCAAATACAGCTTTGGTTTCTTTTATAACTTGACGTGCATCTAAAAATCAGGCATTTGTTTTGCCTGATTAAAATATAATAAATTAATTAAAAAATAGGTCCCAACTTAGTGGAGCCATTTTTCACTGAAAAAGGCAAAAGCAGACATTTAGAATGAGTCATAACCTGGGTATTGTGAAGTCTTCCCACTGAGCATCTTTATTCATTATATAGAAAAGCCTCTTTATTTTGGAGTTCTCAAATTCTCAATTTGTGAAAATGCAGACATAGGCTAAACAGAAACTGACCTTTGGAGAATCCATGAAAAAGAGCTTTTCTGAACACATTAAAACCATAAACGGAACTCAGAGTTTTTAGACACATATATTTCTTAAAGTGCTTAAGGTTATTCTCCTGAATGTGCTAAGCAATGGATATGCTAATCATGTATCATTCTCATCTGTTCACTAAATAATGCTAATCTCAGAAGGACCTCTATTTGAAGAAAGGAAAAAGCATAAAGACTAATTTGGGTTATTCTGTATGCCTGAACATTGTCTAACTGCAAGCATATCTTACTTAAAAATCAGAATTTCCTATTTAAAAATGATTATAACATGACAATCATCTGAAGTAAGGTTGACTGGGCTTCATGCCATGCCATGGCTTTCTAAGCCAACAAGAAATATAATGGTCTTTGGAGAAGGGCCCCTTTGGCTTCCTGGGGCTCGTGATCTTTCTTATGTCCTGATGATACCAAAGCTAACCTTTCTTTCTGCTATTGATGTTTGTCTCCTTTTGGGCAAACTCCTCGAGTAGGCCAGAAGGAATGATGCATACTATAAGTAGTGTTCCTAAGAACACCATATTCTCTGTCATAGGCCTCATCTTCTGCAAATCAAGTTTCAAATGGATTTTGGTAATTCATCTCATTAGACATTTTATTTTAGTTCTGATCCTAATTACAGAGATTTCAGAAGACTGTTCTAAGAGCTGGTTAAACTATTTACAGTGGAACTTTTTTTTTTTCAGAACTACAAAATACTTTGATAACATTTTAAAAAATTCCAAATTTATAAAATTGTTTATGTTTCTACATATCAGGTATTCAGTATGTTTCTAGCAGGACTGGCTGACTGGCTACATAATTTGCAAGGTCACTTTTCGTGAATTATTAAGAATTTCAAAGTGGTGACAGCAGAGTATTAAAATAAAAGAGACTTGGGGCTGGGTGCAGTGGTTCATGCTGGTATTCACAGCACTTTAGAAGGCTGAGGTGGCTAGATCACTTGAGCCCAGGAGTTTGAGATCAGCCTGGGCAACATGGTGAAACCCCATATTGACAAAAAATGCAAAAAAATTAGCTGGGCGTGGTGGTGCCCACCCTGTAATCCCAGCTACTCGGGAGGCTGAGGCATGAGAATGACTTGAGCTTGGGAGGTGGAGGTTGCAGTGAACTGAGATAGCGCCACTGAACTCCAGCCTGGGTGATAGAGTGAGACCCTGTCTCAAAAAATAAAATAAAATAAAACAACAGAGAAGTGTCTGAGTACAGATCCTATGCAACTACATAGGCTGAACACCCATGAAACCAGCCCTGGTTCCAAGGAATAAAACTGGTTTGAGCACTAGAGAACTTCTTCTCAACACAGCCAAGGGGGCATATGGTAGCCATGGGTAGAGGTGGGGGCCCATCTGGATTTGAATTGCACAAGCATCTGTATCGTCAGTAGGTAGTCAGTTCTTGGAAATTCAAAGGAGAATTCAAAGTGAATTGATTTAAAATTGTTAAGCAAGCCATCTCTCATCTCCTTTGAAATGTAAACAGTGTTTGGGATAGTGTGGGGCTAAGGCATGTCTGGATGCAATAGTATGAGAGCAGCATGTCTTCTGCATTCTAGCCTGGGATAAAAGACTGTTAAGAATCTGGTAACTGTCATTGTATTTATCATCAGCAGCATCAGTTACTAAGGGCCCAGAACTGTGTGAGGCTCTTTGGCTACGCTATCTGATCTTTTGGACAATAATATGAATACTCTTGGTTTAAGCGTTGAAGTGAGACATGCTTAAGTAAACCACTGATAGTGACTTTTCAAGTCATTAATCAAAATGCCTATCAAATTATTCCAGGTCTCGTTTTCATTGTCTTGGATGAACAAGCTTCCTAAGGAGGTCTTGAATAGGGTCTGATTCCACAAACCCAGTTGGATCTAGACATTTTGATAAAATGTTACCTGTGATTTTTTTGCATTCTACCGTAACCGTAATGTATGAAAAAGTAGATTAGTCAAGTGCCAAGGCAGTAACTAGAAGGAACAAAAAGGGCTGTCAGGAATATAAATTGAGAAAGTGAGACTCCTCCAAACAGCAGGAGACAGGGGTAAACTTCCATCGCAGGCATTCACTCACAAGCGACATCACAACCTCCACGCACAAATCTCTTCAGATGTCGACAATCTCCTTTTTCTAGCGCTCCTCCCCAAATTGTCATTTAATCATGTGTCTAAACATTCTCTGAATATTGTCCTTCATAACTCAATTCCTGCTGCTTACTGCTTCATTTGTTAAAAGAATAATATTTTGATTCATCACAGGCATTCCTGGAACAGATCAGGATGTTACAGACATGGCCCTGTGGCTTTATCTCGCAAATCAACACAGCAGAAACACAGGATGAGAGGGAATAATTAGGGCTTATGGATATATGTCTTTAAGAAGATTACAACTTAGAAATGTATTTTTCAGAATGATTCCATCTTGCTGCATATAGTCACACCAGATGAAAGGAATCTTCTCTGTTTTTAGGGATGAAACTCGCATATGAGTATTCAGATTTATTTTTCATCCAGCCATCACTTCCTCCCAACTCTAGCCCCAGTTTAAGATCCATCTGGACCCTGGAAAGTGAACACTGGTGTTGGACTTAAGAGCCAGATGGCTTGGATCTGGATTCCAGAACTGTTATTTACTGGCTGCATAACCTTAACCTCTCTGTGTCTCAGTTTTCTCATCTTTAAAATGAGTATGATAATAGTACTATGTCACAGGGTTGTGGAGATGAGTAAGTGGGTAAAGGTTGTAAAGGGATTAGAGTAGTGTTTAGCACATGACAAGCTCTGTATGTAGTTATTGTTGATAGTGTTTATAATCAATACATTTATTGAGCACTTACTGGACGCCAGGCATGATTCCGCATGCTGGGGATTCAGTTGTAAAAAAGAAAGATGAAGACCTTGCCCCCATGTTATTTAAACTTTCATTCTAGTGGGTTAAGAGTAAATAGGTAAGTGAATAAATGAATAGTGTCGCATAAGGATAATTGATCTGAAGAATATGAACTAGCCTGAATGGGTGTGGAGACCTGTTTTACCCTCAGTGGTCTGAGTGAAACTATCCTAGGAGGTATCATTGAAGCTGACATTGAAAAACCAGGAGAGAATGCCGCAAAGGCCAAAGCTGTACAGTGGTGACAAGCTGGGTCTGGTTTGTTGGAGGAAGCAGTTGGAGGCCATTGTGGTTGGAACGTGGTAGACAGGAGAGCAGTCAAGAAGGCAAGGCCGCTGGCCACACTGAGTATTCTGAGTACAACAGACCACATCTGGCCAAGTTCTAAGTCTGGGGTGAGACAGTTCACACTTGGTGAGAAGACGCAGCTTCTGAAAACCAGCAGCATCCTTCTAATGCCACTGTTTCTGGATATGCTGGTTAGGACAGCGAGCCCTGAAGTACAACCCCTGTTTATTTTTCGTACGACAAATATTTTTTGTCCAAGTGTAACCCCTGATTATTTTTTGCCCATCTCCATGCACTCATTTGGGAAGAAGAAATAGCACAATATATTGGCATAGTACTTGGCTTGATATCTTGTTTCTAATAAAAGTTCAGAAATAGAAGTCTCAAAATGGCATGCCGTAGACTACATCCACCCCACAGACAACTTCTGCATTTCTCAAGTTTTTATTTTTAAATTGAATTTGTTGCCAGTATTTTAAAATTATAAGATTTTATATAAGATCTGGGTTCCTGCCTTCTTTAGATTAGAGTCAGAAGGCAGAGTCCCAGATTCCCATAAAGCAGCTAGCTGTTGGCTTGAGCTGAGAGCTG